ATTCACTATTAAATTATTTATTACAACTAGTCTTTCTTTTCTTCTTTTTTTAGTTAGTTTAATAGGTTCAGAAGCAGGGAATATTAAATCTATCTTTCTATGTTAATTATTACAACAAACTATGTAAGTAATTTTAGATTTTATGCATTGAATAATTGACGATCATTAGCTGTATGCACATTACGATCGCCATTTTCAGCTCGATGTTTACAGTGTTATGTAACCCAACGCGCCCGATCGAGGTCACCAGTGTACAAGCCACCTGTGGTCACAAACAAAGCAAGTATTTGTGATCGCGTTTAAAATCTACTTTGTACAAGAACTATTAATTCATGGAAAATTATGTTTTTAATTACATCAAATCAATAAGATATTACTTTACCGATCTTTTATAATCTTAATTCCAAACACTGCTGTATAAAAATCATTCTCATTTTAATCGCTGTTTTTTGTCTGTTCACGCAACAATACATTTTGAAAAAATGTTGCTAAATTTCGTGTTTTTGTATTTTAATTCATCTGCAATTGTAACTGAATGGGGGATTCGGTAAATAATTGAATTACTACGCATGCTACTCACATAATTTTTACTATCACTCTTGTGATTTAGTTTAAAAAACGAGACGGGAGAGAGGAAAATTTCCTTCGATTAATATTCAATGTAGGATAATTAATTTTAAAAACAATTTCAAGCTTAAAATAATTCACTGTCATTTAATTAATGCACCGTGAATTTTCCTAGGACCCTCACTGCTTTATCATTGACCGATATATATACATTCAGAGAGTCGGGTACGTTATGTGTGAAATCCAGTGTCAACTAACATCGGCACTAATATTTTCTCCGTTCAATGTTGAAACAAACAAAAAACTGAGTTAATAAAAGAAGTTTTAAATAACATTAAATAAATCAGTCTTTAACTGCACATATCTTAAATTCAATTTTTAATTACAACCCTTTTTTTTCGATCAAATGTTGCATGGGAAACAAAACGTGAGAAATATCTGTAGCGAAATTATAAGTGGTCAGGTACACAAATAAGCATTGCTGTTCTATTTTCTATTGCTTCCACATGATTTAATTATTTTTTAAACATAATATCGGGTTTTTGAAATGATTTGCTGTCATTTCTTAGATTTTTACTCAAGTCGTGAAGTTATCTAAAACGTTGCTAGGTCATCGATTTAAATCAAGAAAATATATTATTAGCTTAAATTGTAGAAATATTTCTAGACACAAACATGAAGCTTTTCTCGAAAATGTATGTGTATATGTTCAAAGATTTAAACGTGTTAAATGTCGGATTCTATATTCTTTGACGAATGAATAAAAGTTGCTGCGATTTCGCGTTTTTCTCGGCCGTAAATACATCTATGGACGAGTTCATCAGTTACAGTGAAAGGTGACACAGGATGGCCTATCGACAAAATTTTCAATAATGATCTGCCAATTTTGAAATAATTTTAATTGCACATATACATAAATTAATGTTAAAGATTGTACCGTCGAGATGCCGATTATAGTTTCGTTAAAATAGCGGATATCACGGCTGTAACTTGTTCTTCATTTGTAGGAATGATTCTATTTTGGAAAGGCGAAGGATTTTTTTTGGTCCTATCCCCCTCTCCACTTTAAAGTTAATGCAATCGCTACATGACCTTTATCAAGCTATTCTAATTGCTTTTTATTTGAGAAATGTGTGTTGATCTTTAAATTAGCAAATACAAAGATAGTTTGGTTTTTGGTTTCGACAAAACACATGTTGCCTTCGAACTCAGTCAATAAATGTATAATGTTAACCAATAATCATACGCGAGATATTTTTATTCGCCGATCCTCAAATGAATGGAAAAGAAACAAAGTCGACAAAGATTATAGTATCTGTCACAAACTTTCCTATTTACAATCAAAAACTTTTTAATTTCTAAAGCTTATGCCCATTAGAGAATTTATTCAAGCATCGAAGTGTGTACACGTACGTGTATAATACATTTATTAATTTCTTTAGGTAAGTAGAGGTACATGTACAATACTAGTATACCAGTTTTCGCTGCGATTGATTTCCGGAATTCTGCACTGCATTTCTGACAATTAATTTCATTTCTAAACATTCATTATTTTCATTCTGGATTTTTACACTAGATTTCTAGCAATTAAAGTTGACAAAGTAGATGGAATCATAGTTTTAATAGAATTTGGTGAAAGGCTAGCTGCAGATCTCTAGCTCGCTAGCTGGGAAAATCACCAGAGAGCTACAATGCCACCCATATTTAAAAAAATATATATACTTATTGCGTACAAAAAATGCGCTCGGTTCTGGATTAATTTCTCCGAATCCTGACCTCAACTGCACAAAAGATGGATTTCAAAATGTTTCTGAAACCTCTATCAAGTAAATGTATTAGTACCTGACATCTGCAAGAAGCTCGTTGAACTGAATTATCTTGCCATCCAAAATGGTAGAATAGTAGAAGATATTTTGATATCTCAAATTCAGGCTCAGGAGTACTATCTAAAATGGTTGTAAGGGATGTTTTGTTGTAGAAAAAATTAAGGAATGTGCTAAAAACACATTTCAAATCTTTTCAAATATTAGAAATAATGAACTTTATCCTACAAGTTTAACCTGCTTTTCCAAAATTTCAGCATTGCTTAAAATTGACAATAACTTTTGATAGAGAAAGGGTAGAGCTACCTAGTGTTACACATGCATATTAGTTGTGAATAGGCCTGTCGAATAAAGTATTGTTTATATATTGCTGATCAGTGTGTCATGACCTTGAATCAAAGTCATTTAGGATAAGATATTTTGGCAGGATGCATTGTCCGAAAGAACATGCGTGAGATTGTCAATACAGTAGCACATATATGGGATATGCTCATCACCAGCGTGTGTGATGATGTGACGCAGGGTCATTTTGACAAGTTCAAGGTCACAAACATTCCTATGCTATCTTATTTAAAAGTAAAACGTTATAAGATGATATCTCCCTTTAAAAGATTGTTTTAACATTATAATGTGGCATGGCCTTGACTCAAGGTCATTTCGCCCTGTCCGCAGCTCTAACGGAAGACCTACCCGTTTCTTTGCAACGAGCTCGGCTCTAGTTTATGTTGATTTTTGATCCGGCGTGATAGCAAAACTCGTTAATAATTTTCAAACTGAAATCGAGAGAGTTGTTTAAAGCAACTGTTAGGTCATCTGCATGTTGTATATTAATAATTTCTTTGTCATTTATACTAATTCTTGATATATTTGGTTCGTTTTTGATTTCAATGGATAAAATTTACTAAGAAGTATAGTTAAGCTGATATTAAACATCCTTTTCGTATCCCTCTTGTCATACTACATGTTTTAGATAACCATCCGTTATTTTTCATTTTGAATTTAGGGTTTTTATATTATATCTCTACCCATGTAATAAATTGATCGCCAATATAAATTTTTTTAATGTTTCAAGAAGAAAGTCCCATTATACAGAATCGAAAGCTTTTTCAAACTAGTGAAATAATAATATGCCGTCTCCTCTCTCTAAATTACAATATTCAAAAATATGTAAGATTAGTCGAGCATTTTCACCCATGTATCTGCCTTTAACATAAGCAGTTTGATTTTTTATTGATTGTATATGATAATATATCTTGTCCCCTTTCAGCTAAAACACAAGCTATACTGTTCTCTAGCAAGAGATGTTCCCAGTGGGAGGGGTGTGACGTAAACGAAGCTTGCTTTTTAGATCTAATTTTAGCTTTTCGATAAGCTCCATCAAAGAGCTGGCAGATATCGAAAGCGGTAACCCACATATTCTGATTTTCAAAGTTTTTTTTCGTTCGGGTTATGGTTTCCGGAGGAATACGAGTTTGTTTCAAAAAGGACAGGAAAATGATGTTGATCTCGCATCCCTCTGAAAGCGTGCTCCTGCTTTCTTTGTCATTAAGATAAAAACGCAGGTTTCTATCAAGCTGTAAGCAATGTAGAGAATTGTCCACTTTGGTCGTAACGCTTTCCATAAGATCAAAGTCTGTGATCCGATCTTTGTCTTTGCATTGAATATCTGAATTCTTTAGATATAACGGTTTAATCGTTGGTTCTGAGAACTGCATAGCCATGACATATAATGCAGGTAGTGCATGTGAGTGGGTATTCATCCGAATTTACGGATTGTGAACAATCAAATCAGAAGTCCATTAAAGGTAAAAAATTAAACATCCAGAAAAAATAAATATATGTTCATAATCCGGAAAAATTCCTGACACATATCCAATGAAAATAAATAATCCAAACTTAGTAGATATGCGAAAATTGTCAGACTTTGCAGTTGACTTGGGAGTCGGTACAACGCGTCTACCTTGTGCCGCGTCGCATGACCTTCCTTCATACGCTATTTTCATTTGCGAATTTCCGTTGTTTGAAATAAAAAATAATGTCGAGATTACAGTTTGTAACCTCAGTGTTTCCCTTTCCCAGTTTGACTATGTGTACGACGCCCACGAGGTCTATTAATAAACCTAGGATATTAGGTTCGTCTGGTTTGTTAGGTTTGTCGTTGCAACAATTGTTTACAAGGTTGCTTGAGGTTGCATGCATACTGACCCTTCAGCTAATACGTAGTGTTATGAACTGTTTGTGTTTGCATGGATCATAGTGACTGTAAATAGGCCATATGATTATATCGATTATTGTGTTTGCAAATATTCATATGCATGTCAATAAAATATTTACTGACTTAAATAGTATATCACATAGTTACAACAAGTTAGGTAAAACTTTTTTGGTGTTGATTTTAGCCCAGAAATCTTTTTAACTTTCTCCTAAGTATCTTTCATATAACAATTCTGGTTGTATGTACATTTTGATATTTCAATTCTGTTTCCTTACTACATAACTGTTGAAAAATAACATTGAAATTATTTTGATGTTTTTTTTTAAATAAAATTATGGCAACCCATATATCATTTTCTCGTGAAATGTACGAAAAGCATACTCATCATTACTGTTTTATGAGTCATCATCAATATCATATGGCCGTGTGATTTCTTCTTCATCAGTATGTATAGACCTTTGCGATTCACGATCAAATTCGTCATCACCTTCGTGTGGCCATGGGATTTCTTCTTCGTCAGTAAGTATAGTGTTTTGAGACATACGATAAAATGCGTCAGCGCATTTTTGTTGCCATTGGATATCTTCTTCATCACTATGAATAGACCCTTCCGATACACGATCTTTCTCGAAATTCAATAGCGTTCTACGAACATGGGTTCTTTTTCTCTGCCTATTCGAACGTTCTCTTTCAACTTGAAAATTCGGCAAATTTCCAAAGTATTCCTCTTTAGCTATTCTATCGATGTTTCCAGCATGAAATTTGTCAAGTTTATATATACGCTTTCTTGGAAATTTTCTGATTTCATTCACTTGGCTCTCATCTATAGCCCGAAAAAAAGTTATTCCAGGATTTGCTCCAATATTATTATCTATTTGAGTTAAAATTTTCTCCAGTTGTCCAATTCTATTTTCGAGCTCTTGTTTTGCATCTTCAGCTAAATCCAAAACCATTTTTTCATCTTTTCGGAGATCCTTTATTTTTTTTTCTTTAATCATTATAATTTTGTTAATTATTTTTTCTGCATGATCTTCTATTTCCTTCTGTACCTCATTAGTTTTCTTTGATATCTCGGATTGCTTATCCTTTTCCTCTGATAACAATTCTCTGTATTTTGGCAGAAGTGATGTTTCGATTTCTTCCTTCTCTTTTTCAAGCCCCTGTTTGATTTTTTTGTACACAGTGGCCAGGTTGTCTACTTTATGACCATTGTGGGTTTCCATCAAACATTTAACACAAACGGGCTTCTCGCACGGACAGCAAAAACAATCGAGTTTTTTGGTTGTGTGTTCTGAACAATAGAGAAGTTCCATTCCTTCGCCTTTATCTGAGATCAGGTGAATAATATCATGATTTTTTGTAATTTTCCGTTTCATGTGTTCCGTCTTACAAGTCTCACACAGATGACCTGCGCAAGTTTTACAAAGATATTGTGCAGGACTTTCCTCACAGTTTTCGCACTCAATATAGTGCTGGGCAAAACTTTCAGCACCATATGTGGCCATTGTAGGATTCAATCTGCAAATACAAGTATGTAATTTCATAATACATGTAGTAGACAATTTTATAAATTATGTCTGTTAATATGTGCATACTCCTCAATATGAGCAAATCAATAAAAGATGTGTAATAAAAATATTTTATAAAATTCTAAATGGGCGTTGTTTTTATGTTGCAACTAGTATTTTGAAAATTTAAAAGTTACATTTTGTTTAATTAGAAATGAATAAAATTCAATGTTCTATAATGATTAAATCCGTTACAGCAAAATTTCTTCAACTTATCTCAGAGTTTTTTAAATCACATTTGAGATAAGTACATAAAAAACTTTCAGGGTAAAAGAATGCATATATATCAGAACGAGAAAGTATTTGTTTTACTTAAAGGTCCATGAGGTTTCAATTCAAATGCCTCATAACATTCAAAAGAGAGCAGATATCAAATAAGTGAATCTACAATAGCGTTATCACGATAGATCAAAATTGTCTTCTTGTTTACAGGTTGTGTTTATTTATTATTATACATGTATTTCTGTTAAAATGTTCCGTATACAACGTTCTGAAGGTAAATACATATCTTTAATAGTCCGCGCATAGCAAAGCTTTACCCTGGGGTTTAGTTTTTGTTATTATACCTCTACTGTAATTAATCTATATAAAATTAAAACCATAAACTGTCTATTTCCCCGAGAAGAGACTACTGCCTTCGACTGAAGACTACTCCCTGGAAAATCAGAGCTACTCCCTGGGCCTACTCCCTCATGAATATTTATCAGTAATTTTAACTAATCAAAGTGTTCAGTAGGCGGATGGTTCCCCGAGGGAGGAAACTATTTCCCGAGGCGGCGAAGCTGCCGAGGGAAATAGTTTCCTGCCGAGGGGAACTATAAATTTGTTATTTCCCGAGTTCCCACTGTTTGTGAGTGGGATGACTCTTTTATCAAACCTTTGACAGGGACCGTACTGTTGCGGGTTTGATAATAGTGCTTTCCCATTCACAACCGGTGGATTAGTGTATATTATAAAGCAAATTATGCATACGTTGTCGCCATTGATACACGGTGCATTATCAAAGAAATTCGAATTATAAAGATATTACTGAATATACAAATTCTAATATGTTAGACGGTGCGCGTGTTGGTGAGGGCAGTGCCATGAGGAGAAAATTGCTATATTTTATTGTTTAATGATAAAACAGCTGATCAGTTAAATTCTGAAATTGTAGGTGCATAGACCTAAAGCAAAGGGTTCGCTTCATGCAGGTCTATGGTCATTGTCAGAAAATCATACCAAAGAACTCAGTTCTCTTGAGATAGAAAGAGCCTTCCCATCTCTTACATGTACCTCATTAATTTTCATTCAAATAATGCAATTCAAGGGCTTAATAAATCTTAGAACTAAGATATTTCATCATGAGATGAATGGTTGTTTAGCCAGAGCACTTAAAGTCGAAGAACGTCGTGGAAAAAAAGAGGGGCATGCATTGGACCAGTAATGGGTTTAACATACATAAGAAATTTGAGACACCTTGGTCCAACGACACCTCAAACTTTATAAGTTATAAGTATAAATAAATCTTATCGTCTAAAACGAAAGTAGAAAGGGCCTAATTAATTATGGATTTAATTTTCAGCAAAAAAAAAAAAATTACTGCACATTTTACTGGGATGAAATGTTTTTCATTTTGATAAAAGTCTCATCAACAACGAGAATTTGCGCGTTGATCAAATCAACGCCATTTGTGACGACGCCATATTAACCACAAGAATCTCAGTTCCATAGGTATTGTAAATGACATATAGTTTACAATAGATTTCTTTTATTTTTCATATACATACGTGTTACCTATAGGAGAACTTCGAGCCCGTGAGAGGGATCCGCCTTCTATAATTATAATATACTTTCTTGTTAATTACTTGAATTTTGATTTGTCGAGAATTGTGACAAATATAGTGAAAGCGATATTATCATCACGAAGTTTTAACCGTATTACTTGAATACATTTTTTTTTTTGCACATTGTGTTTTGATACGACCCCCGAATACTGTCAAACGAAGTGTATTGCCGCATACGTTATTTTCTTTGCTTTTCAAGATTTTAATGTTGTTATGATGTTAAATTAATTGTTATCTATAGCTTCCTATATTGTATACATGATCACATAATTGAAACGGTTTTTGTTTAGCGATTATTTGGTAAATTGTTACTTGGTATGTTTTCTTTTTCGCCTCATGGTTTGTTATTCCGGAAATGCGGTTTCCCAGAATGTATTTTTCTTAAAATGTTAAAAGTTGTAAGCGGCGATTTATTTAATTAATTGTATGTCAATCTTCTTTAATTATTACGAAAGTTATTTTGTTTATAAAGTAGTTATTATATTTTACTTTTTCCTATTTTATAGTGAAACATGTGTACAACTTTTTGTAGTCGTGGGAATAAGATTATCGCGTATTGCCTGTGATTGGTTGATAATCAGGTGCGCGACGTTTCTTACTGGTTATCGTATTTTACGTCATTTCGTAGTATTTCATGATGTATATTATATATAGTAAGAACGAGAGTTGCAGACGGTGAATAGATTAGAGACAACAGATTACACCACTGTATCAAGGTGTGTGTTTAGTTTAGTTCTTTGGGTTAAATGATTTGATAGTATTAAGTGGTATGGGGGAAAACTTTATTCAGAGATTCAGATTGAATAATATTTATTTACCAGTATATTACTGGTGTAGATTTTAATGATTACTGGTTCATTACCAGTTTAGGATTAAATTAGCATTTTAATAGGTCTAAGAGAGTTAGACTTGCACATGAAATATTTAATTGCTGGATAAGACTCCAGTTCTAGAGGTTTTTTATGAGTTTGTGAAACACCAGCGATTTTGTAAAATGTTGAACAGTATTGTTTTGTTTCTGTGTCCTGTAAAATGAATTTATAAACTTTCAATGAAGTTGTTGACTTGTTGAAGACAGTCCAGTTAGCGCATCCGCACGTTACAAGAATCATTCGTTAAAAATTACCCGCTGAATAAACAATCTATACTCTCCAGGATAGCAACAGTCAATTTTACTTTATGGGTGGTATCAAAAATAATATCTGCGTGGAAAATATTGGTATACAGTTAAGTTTTACGTGTATTTGTATAAAACATTCTGTATAATATAATAAATACAGTACTTGCTATGAGTAACTGTGAGAATTTTTACGCTTGAAAACCCCCATTGTTGTTAATTTTAATCAATACATGCTAGATTTCAACAAACAACTGAAACAGCTATAGAAAAATAATCCTATAACTAATAGAACTTGCAAAATCGGATTTCATAATAATAAATATATAAAGTCAACAATACCTTGATTGTGATGTATTCCAGATTTATATTTCATATATCAGTTATGGGTTTCATAATAATAATAAAACGAAAATTAAAGTACCGAGAAAAAAAATCGATACCTGGTTGCCAGGATCCGGTTTTTAAACACATAGTCGTCAATAGGCCTTTATCATCTATACTCATTTAAATGACAAAATAAATAAATAAATAAAAAAAAACATATTTGCTAACTCAGTGCTTTATTCTAATTCAAGAGCTCAAGATCAATTACAGACTAGGCTTTTTAAGGTCTTCCACCCGTAATGACATAGGAATTTTTCGTATAATCTCGTGTTACTTCGGATTTCGGGAAACCCCCCTCAAATGCCCGTGTGATAATGGTAAGAAAAAATGGCGGCCTCCATGCAAGACCGTGGTGGCCGAGGTAGAATAGATTTACAAAATCACGAAAAAAAAAGTGAAGAGAAAATATTGACCACTATTATTCTATTGGACGTGTATATAATACGGGAGGTGAGTCTCCACCAAAGATCCTTTGAAACGCGAGTAAGGACAGCTGGAAGAAAGGTCAGCGGATCATTGATGTAGACTGTCTTCTGTCTGGACTGTCACACTGTAAAAACTGTTTACTAGGTCCTGTCCCGATAACATATGACACGATAGTAGGAGAACTGAATAAATGTCTAAGCGGATACCTGTATGTGTTGTGTTCAAATGTCGATTGTCGACACGTAAACAAGTAATCCGAGATTCCTTTGACTCTAACCCCCGCTTTTATACCGTTCCGTCATATGTTTTCGTGGTATATGTGTTTTTTGTGGTATTTTTATTTTTCAGAATTCTCGTACAGTGCAAGATCGTAATGACGTCATATTTGTTATTTATAAAGGGGAATCCTATATTGATCTGATGTCAAATAATGAAACGATTCGATACTGCTCAAGGAAGTATAGCCACTGCATAGTGTACAGCTCACACATTTTTGGTAATTTGATTAATGCAAATTTATTCAACGGGTTAAGATTAACAATTAAAAAAAAACGTAGTCAAATCAGAGGAATCTGCAAAATGTCATCTGTTTACAATCCACTTGGCTACATGATAATGTGATAATAAGTAAGAATTTCCCTTGATAGTTTTCTATGGAGATCCAGTAGTGTCATTTTTATATAATTTTCACGAAAAAGTCACTTGTGACCAAAAAGTAAAAGTTGACATAGACAATTATATGCTGTTAATAAACAGTTATTTTGTCCAAAAATAAAAATGTTTGTGTATATATATTTTCAAAAATATTAAAATTATGTTTTGAAATGTTTTACATGTAAATAAAAACAATAAAAACTAGAGCCGAGCTCGTTGCAAAGCAACGAGTAGGTCTTCCGTCGGAGCTACGGACAGAGAATGACCTTGAGTCAAGGTCATGCCACATTCTAATGTTAAAGCAATCTTTTAAGGGTAGATAACATCTTATTATGTTTTACTATTTAAAAAGGATAGTTAAGAAATGTTTGTGACCTTGACCTTGTCAAAATGACCTTGGGTCACACCTTGACATACGCTGGTGATGAGCATATCCCATTTGTTTGCTACCGTATTGACAAAACCACACATGTTTTTTCAGACAATGCATCCAGCCAAAATATCTTATCCTAAATGACCTTGAATCAAGGCCATAACACACTCTGCATGATTTAAGCCATACCTTTTTTATAGGCCTTGTAACAGCTAATGTACATGTGTAAAAAGTTATGGTCAATTTTATAAGCAATGTTTAAATTTTGGAAAAACCGGTTAAACAAAAAAAAAAGAATAATAGGGAATGATCTTAACCATCAGAATCTTTCAAGAGAAAAAAAAATATAGAAGTTACTCACCCACACAGCTTACAAACGCCTACATAGATCTGAAGGAAAATAAGTTTTCAGTATATAAGGCTTCAAGGAAACATTCACATCGCTCCTCATCGGCATCCCATCATAAACACATCTTTCAAGGATCGGCCGATGTATGGCCGAGCATCGTCCAATTTCCGTTGAATCTGAGGTCATCGGGGGTTGAGTGGTGTTCAACAGTTAACGACCGATCATCAGTCGATGTTGGACCAAACATTGGCCCGTAGTCGACCGATGTACGAACGATGTTCACCAATGTATGAGCGATGTAATATACATCGGCCGATTATCCTGGAACATCGTTTTATGATTAGCAATGCATCGCTGGACCTTTGTAAGTCCGGCCGGCAACAACGCTATTTTTCTCATAAAACGCATTGGTTGCCCATCGTATGCACATCACTGGATAATGTGACTGATACTTCTAGGACTAATAGGCCGATGTGGACCGATGATGGGGCATCGTTAACACCACGGATTACTACCGATTACCACCGGTCTACGGCTACCGGCCGGGAAATGTGACCTAGGCATTATCAAGTGTCAATGTCTATCTCGCGAAAATAAGGTGTCGCAAAAATTTAGTGATCTACAGTGACTGGCATAGCTATCAATGGTTCCAACTGGCAGTGATAGACCCGTAGACGCTTTAGGTGTACTTGTTTCATCAAATGGATCAATACAATTCCAAATGCTGTGTTGAAATCCCATAATGGACGGAGTTTTGACTTTCCTGTACTTATGAATACCATTATGAATATTGGTCAACTAACTGAGTTGTTTGGCGGTGTATTCGGGTTTATTGACTCACTTTCAGTGTTTAGAAAAGTGTATCCAGAGAGAAAATTATACAAACAAGAAGCTTTTAAGATTTATTAAAGTCACTTTTGAACACAAGTTATGATGCTCACGATGCAATTAGTAATGTCAACGCCAAGAAAAATTGATTGGGCATTTAGCACTTTCAACACAAGAGCTTTTACTGTACAGTTTCCCTCCACGTGCTGTACATAGTGCCTTTCTTTTCAGGGAGGAAAAAGCAAAAAAATCTACTGTCTCTGAATCCTCTCAACAGCCATAGAGTGATGAAAATGTGTACTGCAGGAAATGTTGCTGGATCTGGCTTACAGCTCACCCATCTTAAAAAGATCTTTGAGCGGGATGGAGAAGATGGACTTAGAAACACGTTCATTGCACCAAACTCGGAGGGACAACCACGAATGACAAATGTAAAGAGAACTCTTGAGAGTATTTTATCTAAATTGGTATATTATTTTGTAAAGAATTAATCTTCAATTATGTGCTGTGAATACATGTATATGCATTATCTGTCAATATATTTGATGCATGTATTTCTTTTACATCACTGCCTCTTGTACATAAATTGTATATTTGTATAAATTGTATAAATCTTCGTTACTGGCTTATAAGTAGATTCAGTGAAAGTAGATTTGACAATTTTTATTCATGTCGCCAGTCATTTTTAGTGCTTTGTATACATTGTATACTGTATAGATAGATAAATGTTTTATTAGGTGTATAAATATTAATAATATGTGCCTAATTCTGTGTTGATAATACAAAGAAATACTAACAAAGTATTGGAAAGTATGTTACATATGTATGTTCGAAATATATATACATGTAGTTGTTGTGGTAACCATAGAAACATGCATATTTTAATGATTTTGAGCAATAATAATTGTTTTTCCCCCATGCTTAAACACTTATGATTGAATGATATGATTATTTCCAGAAGTTGTTTTTGACCAATAGAACATTGAAAAACTTGAAAACGAAAAAAGTTGTAAAAACAAATTTTGAAAATTTTGTCGATTTCAAAAAAAAAAAAAAATTGTTGTCACTGAAAATGTAAAATTATTCAATCATTGCTTTTTTAATCTTGTATTCTTTCTAGATTTTTTCGGTAATAGAATTATCAAGGTGCCATAATAATTATACTGAAAGGAAAAAGAAACGCAGGGTAGCATAATATTCGAAAATTTTTTGACCACATGACCGAAAATTACGAAAATTGGTCAGATGAGAAATGTTGTTACTATGCACCAAAATTAGTGTTCAGAATTACCCAACCGTAAAATTTATGACGTCAAATAGGGAAAACGCTAAAAAGCCTAAAACACGTGCAATTTAATGACGACGAGTTTGTCAACAAATCTTGTTGCACCATTTGATGCACATGAGGTAGGCACATTGTTTTTCAATATTTAGAGATGATATGAATTTCTTGCAATCTTGGTACAGTTTAGAGAAGTTCCATGGGGTCTGGTTCTCGAATTGCCTAATTAATGAAAAAGACAACAACGGATAACTAAGCGGTTTCTTTTAAATTATCCCCCATAAAACTTGTTACCCGTTGTCAGAGAGGGCCTGGAATGGTTTTCAATCAACCGTGACGATGACGTTAACGCGAAACCGAGTCATGTTACGAGCGGGTTATTCCTCCTACCAACTCTTAAATCGCCACCTTACTACCTCCAAAGCCGCCTTTTATACAGTAGTCTATTATAATCGTTACATTTACACGAAAAATGGAAGAAAACAATTCCGTAATTTGGTTTTTTGAGCCGGTCAACTTACTGTTGTGTTCCTCTCAATGGCGCATGCGCGCGTCGTATGACTATTTTTTTGGCGTGGTCACCCATGCCCAATATAGCCAGGGATTGAAAGATAAACACTCTGATGAATTCCATGCAAAGGAGAAATAAGACTCATGAAAGATGTGCGGGAGAGACATTGAAGATAATGAGAGTTTTCGATTTTCACTTTGGGGGGGGTATCGTCATATGAGCTTCAATAACTGATTAATTATTGAACAAAATCAAATGGGATTTTGGTTATATCTTTTTGAAAGATGACTTTAAAAGTTAGATAGGAATACTGAAAATAATAAAAAGAAAAATAAATTTAATTCACCTCAAAAGTTTACCCTGCGTTTCTTTTTCCTTTCAGTATATAATCAATATTCAAGTTTTATTTGGTTGGTGTGAGTCAATCTCAAAATAATTGTAAAGTACGTTGTAATGTTTTAACCTTGGTAATATATGATAAAGGCAGTAAAAGAAAAATTTTGCTTTTGTTTTAATGATAGACAACTATAATGTTTTCTTAATCATTTATTTTTGTTGCTCATTGAAATCAAAAAATATACGAGTTGATTTTGATCATAACATGAGTTTTT